GGCACAAAAGTGTTTCACCCATAGGCCCTGGGTTGGTCTTCTTCATTTGAGCATGAAGTGCTAGGGCATTCCTACGGGTGTGTTCAGCACAGAAGGATACCCTTAAGGAGACAAGATATTAGTATTAATAGGTTCCCTATTGAAAGGGTTCAGGCATCTTCACTGATCTTTAGATCATTTTTAAGAAATTAAAATGACTATTATATTCACACCTAAAAAAGACAAGTGAATCAGAGGAATTTAACTGGCCTAAGGTCAACTCATAAAGTTGTATGTAGGTTTATGTGTATGTGTGTGGCTGGTAGTCAAACTCAGGCCCTCATATGCATCCAAGTGCTCTACTACAAAGCTACATCCTCAGCCCACATTTGGTAATTATTAGTAGGAAATACAAGTAGCTTAACCAGTGCTCTAACCATCAAACAAAACATTCCCACTTTAAAACTGTTAACATTATTTCATAACAAATCAGAGATACTTATTTTTCAAGATTAATTTTGGAAGGCACATCTTAGTATCAACCCAGTGTGGTTAGTTTTATATGGGACACAATTTAAAAACTAAAAGGTACACACAAAATTACCTAGTAGTCATGTTTTTGCATGGGTAACTATGTATATGATGAACGCTATCAAACCTCTTCCAAAAGAATATACAATTTTGCACATTTTTCATTTTGGGGGGGAGTGATACTAGGGCTTGAACTCAGGGCTTTGCACTTGCTAGGCAAGTGCTCTATCCCTTGAGCAACACCCCCTAGCCAACTCTGCATACCATTTAACAAGATACATGGACAGTAGATAAAGCTAGTAACCCAGCTCAGGGAGTGGTGGTGCCTTCTGTAACCCCAGCACTTCGGAGATTAAGGCAAGAAGGTCCTGAGTTGGAGGCCAACCTGGGCTACCTAGCACAAACCTACTTCCAGAAAACTAAAGGAAAAAAAAGAAAAGAATTTAGAATATCCCTTCATTTTATGGATAAAATTAAAATCCAAAAAGATAAGTGACCCAACTCAGGTGTCCTTCCAGTTTTCATCATTTTAATGTTTTGAGGTTTTTTTTCCCAAAAATATATCCAGAACCCCAATTTTACAAACAGGTGACCTAAAACTTGGCAGCTATGCTCAAACCCACGAATCATATCTCCCCTCTCTTTTTAACACCAAAGCTACAGGGGAGCTGTCAAGAGTGACCGAAACTGTACAGCACCTGTCTAGCAAGCATGAGGCCGCGTTCAAACCTCAGAACCGCCAAAAAATAAAGGTACAAGGGGAGTCTGGAGGGTGTCGCTCATGCAGGAGGCCCTGGGTTCAATCCCCCAGCATTTAAAAAAAAAAAAAAAAAAACTTTCTTTAAAAACTAAAAGCATACACACAAAAAAAACTAAAGACACAAAGAATATATCTATACATATTATACCCATCTTTCTTCTCTGGCTTCGGGGCAGCACTGGGACATCTTTTTCCATTCTTCGTCGATATATAACTACACTGTTTGAAGGGTGCATTCTTGTCTTCAAGGATATGCTTAATGCAAAACTCCTGCCCCTCCAGACGAGGTTGCGAGCATGGGCGATGAGTGAAGGAACAAGACAGAGGCTCCTGAGACCTGGGCACTGGGGTGATCCTCCCCCTATTGGTTGGCAAGACGTGAATCCGAATCCTGTTCATACCAAAACCTGTAGGGTCACATAAAGATCGAAACGCCCTTACCCTTCCCGAAAATTCCTGCCCCACGATATCCGCGTAGACCTCTGTCCTGGTTGTAAAAGACAGGGAGCAGCCGAGCCCGCGGGGTCCGCTCCCTCGGTAACTCCCCGCCGCCCTTCCACGTCCCGGGCTGTGCCCTGACCTCCCCTCAGCTTCTCCCTCCAAGCCCGGCCCCTCCCCCGCGCCACCACGTTGACTGCAGCTCCAGGACTCGCACGGCTGCAGCACGAGAAGCGCCGCGCCAGTCCCACGGCCCCGCCCCGCTTCCCTGCAAGCCGCCTTTGTCCTGGCCCATCTCACAGCCCTCGGCTGAGCCCGGCCCGGCCTCGGCCGCCGTGCAAGCGCCATTTTGTCCTAAGGTTCCGGGCGCCAGAAAATCTGGCTCCCAGGAGCCTGTAGGAACCGGAGTGACTTCCAGGTGAAGTGGCCACTGTAAGCTAACAGAAAGAGCGAGCCGCAGTCTAACTGCAAAAGCTAATAACAAGCACCACCGCCATCTTACCTCCACCGCGCCGCTAGCCTCCTCTGGCAGAGCCAGCCGCTTCTCACTCCGCCCTGATCCTCTCCGCGCTCCAAACCGCTGATTGGCTACTGCTCCTACGGCGGTGTGCTCCTATTGGCTGAGGTCCCTCCTGAACGCTAAGAAAAGGCGAGGCTGGAGTGGCTGAGATGAACTGTCTGTCAGCAGCTCCATCCCTATGAGAGTGGGCCGGCGGGAAGGCGGGCTGCCGGAAGAATGGCCAGAGTTTTCCACTTCTTGTGCGGCTCAATTTCAAGCAGTTTTTGATTCCTCTGTAATCCTACACTGTTGCCGTTGCCGCTTCGTCACCACCCTACACAGCGGGTAGAAAACCGGGCACTTGCTGTTTATACGTGAAAAGTGAAAAGGCTTAAGTTTACTAATCATTTGGTGTAGAGCACTCAACTTTTGGGAGGTGTTTACCAGGAGTCTGGGAAATCACATGTATTCATTTAATTTTTCAGGGCAACCCTAAGAGGTAGAGACTATTATTATTATCTTAATTTTTACGAATAAGGTGACCAAGGGGAATAGGCCCCTAACTAGGAAATGGGGGAGAGAGGCATATTTGAACCCAGCCTTTGTCCTTTATCTCTTACTGCCTCTCAAGTAGCAAAGGGCCTTGGACTGAGTGAGGATAAGGAAACGAGTTCTGGTGTAGGCCTTGCTTCTCGTAAACTGGTGCATTCATTCTTTAAAATTGTAACTCCATGCTAAATAATCTGGGCATTATAGCAATGACAGACAATAGCCATTTTTGTCATCCTTTAAAGATTTTCAGTTAAAAGCATCTCTCTTGTCATCTCCATCATGCCTCTTGTAGAAATGATATAACATTTTCTGGACTTTTTTTTTTTTTTT